CCCCCCCCCCCAGGAGTATGCAGTATAGAACAATGATAACACGTACTGTGTTAACGTGACTGCACGCTTCTTTTCCCAGTTCTTTGATGTGTTTTCTATGTTGGCTCCTGAACAGAAAAATAAGCATCTTATAAACAAAACATCTTATATTGATATTCCTGAATGCGCGATGCTTCCAAAAAATGTGTTGTTCCCGAGAGGGTTTATCTGGCAGGCGAAGTTGGAACTTTTCATCCTAAAAAGGACTGATTTTGAAAACTCGGGAATCCGCTGGATAGCTGGGCATTCATAGTATTTGTTTCAAGCTTAAAACACATCGCTGCTCTGGATGACTGTTCATCTATTGCCAAAAATTATTTTTTCCAAGGCTGTGACAGCGGTTCACTTTCTCCTCTTGTTCCCATGAATTTCGCAAAATTTTTGGAAGCAGAGCTTTTAGGAGTTCCCTTAACAAGAAGGAGCGCTGCTCATAAGTTTCTTCAGTGACCACCATTTTTTTCCTTTAAAAAATTCCCAGCAACTATGGTGCTTTGTCGAAATTATACATTTAGGGTTAAATTCGTGTTGCAGTCTTATAACGATAACAATAGACACTTAAGGAAAATTTCCTTCCGGTTTTTGATATCCATGCCATATTTTTATAAGTTGCTGGCGCATTTGTTGCACCTGTCGACTGGAAGTGATTAGAGCTTTCCTTCGTGATCCAGCTCACTTTACTGACACCTCCCCTTCCTCGGTTTCTGTTCTGCGCTCCAGTTCAGTTAAAGGCACATTCCGCGATAAAATAAGGCTATGACCTCTCAAATGTGTCGGACGATCCGGAAGGCGATTTTTGAGGCTGCGCTACTTTCAAAATGTGAAAAACGGCAAGAACTCCGCTAGAAGCTGACTAATTAGGCCCATGGACACCCCTTAGGCCCATGCCGACCCTCACCGGCTGCTAGCTACTAGCTAGTAGCCACTATGTTATCTTTCTCTATAACATTTCGGACTGCTTTTTCTGCTGCTTTTCTCCGCTAATCAGATACTTAGCACTTTTTTGTGCCTATTTGAGTTCCGTTTCCCGCAATTTGCGGTCGCGAACTGTGCCTTTAAATACGTTGGCCTCAATAATAAAGACTGCCCTGATTTTTTTGAGCGTTTTTTCAGTTGCTTCTATCCTTCTTCGCTGTCGTCCTATCTTTAACATATGCATTTCTGATGACTAACAGCATAATTACTAAGGAGGCAACGTTGCTGATGGGTCCTATATACCGTCAAATATTAATTTGGTCGTCCCATAAATTTCCCGACTTTCAACTTTTTTGTGCACCTCGTTTTTTCTACTTCTTATAGGCATCTAAACAACTCTGTAATCAGTTGTTGGATCAGTGACATGTAGAGTCTTGTTCTCTGAGCTTAGTGGGCGTTCTTGGCGGCTGGGTATGGCGCGGCGCTAGCCCGCTTTCAGCCACCTTTCAACAGTCGTTAGAGAACAGGTTGGCAGTGTGCCGACCCCCCCCCCCCCCGACCCAAGCCCTAGCGTCCGCAGCGAGCAACACTGCTTTTTGCGAGGCAAAGACGGGATGGCATTATAATAGAATGGGTGAAGCTGTCCATCAAAGAATATGGAAAGGTCGTTTTGAAGGCGTATTCTAGTCAAAGCGAGGAGCAGATGTCAGATCTGTGGAGAAATACTAGGGCTTCGCGGCTGATGTGTTGCCTTGCTCCAGTCAGCTTCTCTTATAGAGTAAAAGGGCAGGTCGTTTTTTTCGCAGTGTGAGGTCGGGCGTCTTCGGAAAAAAGAGCGTCACTGAGCTGTTTTGCACGCTGATTTCGCAGTGCTTAGGCTACTTTCCAGAAATGGATATCGCCCTTGGCTGCCTGCTTGTATTTAAGCTGTTTCCAGGATAGCATGTCTTGCCGATTCTAGAAAACCGATGCATAGTCTCCGAGTAAGAGACCTGGGGCTTTTGTAAGGCTTGAGAGTCATAGCCGCGTAGCGGCCAGTAGACATTTTGCGTTTTGTTTTCACAGTGGACCCAACCATCGTCTTCAGTGGTTATCGGCTCGATAAAGACCTGCTCATGCCACCAGCCAAGTCTTTAGCGGGAACTCAATGCTGCTGCCCTCAAGTGGTCAGCCAGTGCAGGTGTCCATTGAGACGTGTATATGCGGTGGCCAGGTTCGTCCAGATTAGCCGATGTTCTTGTTGTCGTTTCCAGGTGGCAGATCCGGTACGCATAGAAATATCCGGATACACTTCTTCAGGAGACGTTCACCCACGGTGGCTGGACAGCCAGGGTGAGGTCGATTCCCTCAGCTCGTCCGGTACCGCCTCTGACGATACAATTATAGCATTGCCTCATAGGCCCATTAATAGCTGTGCCTGGCTGGGACGCAGCGCTTAAAGGCAGTTGGCACGATGATTTGGTGCTCGGCCTAAAATGCTAGTAGGGCGCTATATAGTGGGGAAATGGCGAAAGAACGGAGTGAAACGGTCAAAATCCTGCGAAGAAAGAGCCTCCGTTGTGTTAGTAATCAATTTTGGACGAGTTTCCCGTAGGCATCTTGCCAATAACCGCTACCGAAGGTACGGCTGCATATGTGTACTCATATATCCATGCAGCATCACGGCCGCTTCATACCAATCCCTTCGCTTCATAATTTGCTTAGCAAATGAATCAATACGAGCGTCAGGAACGGTCGTCCATTTGTGGGCGGGCGGGCGTGGCGGGCGTTTGGGTCGGAATGTTGTGGCTTGATAGGGCCCTTATAAGGGCACCTCCCTTGGAAAAGGCATTATGCAGCGCCTGCTCAGGGTCGCGGAATTCCGTCCTGCCAGGCGTATTAGTCCTACTCGTTTTGAAGGATTTATCGTGCCAACTGTGTTTAACTTTCCGACATTCACCCTAGCTTTGGCATCCGAGTGAGATCAGTGAACCATAATTCAATATAAGGGGTGCTAATCTTTTCGACTCTCAGCTGATTGATCTGCCAGCTCATCTTCTACATTCAGAACACCTGGTTCAAGGTCCTAATAGACTCTCTTTGTAATATATCACAAACTAGAACTCTGTAATATATCACACGTAACTGTGATAACTCGAGTTGGCAAAGTTTGAATTTGCACGGAAAATGGGCAAAATTTATGGGACGTCCAATATTACCTCTCTCGCCGAGTATGGTGATTTCATCAAGCATTGCCAACCGTCTTTTCAATCTTCGTGAGATGCAAAAACAGTCCTCTTGGGATATTTCTTCGCGGAAATGTTAATATTGAGTTTGTCGATGCCCTTCCAAGTGGTTCTCTGTTTGGGCCTTGAGCTCAGAGAAATAGTTATGTTCCCGACCACACTTCTCTTGAAATTCATGGGGTCGCTTTGACCAAGTTTTGAATATGAGACCTGTCCTATCATGTTAGCGTTGTATTGGTGGTTCAACGATGAATTCTGTTTAGAAAAAAGAGAGGACCACATAGATCCTCTCTTATCGTGAACTCGAAATCCCACGCTGACACGCCCCGGCTGGCTTCAGTGATAATGACTGTAAGGCGTCCACTCTCAGCTGTATAGCGAGCGCAAGGCTGTATTGCGTCGGTCATGTGAAACGATGCAAGTAGCTTCTGGGACCTGAGTTCTCTTTTTTTCGCTAGTAAAGTCGCTGCTGCTAGCACAAAGAGATAAGCTCAGCTGAGCTCTGGCATTTTACGATTTTTCGCGAGCACTTGAGAAAATTACTTTTGTTTGTGAGTTGCCAGCCGACACCCTCAAGCAGAAGTGACTCATTGCATCTTTCTTCTTCTACGTTGATTATCTTTCAGCCTTGTTTAATTTGTGGTTTTCTTTCACATTTCTTTCTGTAGTTTGAATACACCTTGTATTCCCCGCGAGGTCGATATTCTCCATGTGCAAGAGGGTGAAGGTGTGGCCTCTTAGCCACGATGCATGTGGTTATGGAAGTGAGGGGGTTCTGATTCTAAATTTCCTTCATTTCTATTTTATTATATTTGTTTATTTTCCCCCCTCTGTTCGATATATGGCGTCCAATCCACAGACACGTAACACGGCTCAGGCCAGCCACACGCCCTATCCCCAACTTGTGTGCGAGGTGGATGTTCCTTATATCTCCTCCCGTTATACGATGCGCAGTAAGCACGCCACATTCTG